CGGGGCGGGGGCGGGGGCGGCGGCGGAGCGGGCGTGCTGCCAGCCAGCCGGCCTGGGCTGCCGCCAAACACCGCCATCAACTGCCAAAATCCACTTTTGTTTTCAACTTCCATTAACTACACGTCCGGACTCGCGCCGTCGTCACTGCCTCCGCCCGAGGCCCCCGCTGTTGCGAATGGGAGGGCCCGCTCACCGGAGGCCGCAGGCTGCCAGGTCGCCCGCCGTATCCTGCACACGGGAGATGTTATCGGATTCGAGGGTGCTGCCTCCGATACTGCCTGCGGATGCGGCCATGCGTCATTAGTGTTTTCTGGAACGATTATTCACAACGGTTGCCGGAAGGCAGTAATACGCCAGAAACCTATCACAGAACTAGAAACGCCTGAGAGTTCATTTTTACAGAGTGGATTAAAACGAAGTATTCTTCAAATTAAATTGGTATCTTATTGCGAATAATATTATTAGCATACAAATATAAGATACTATTACTTGTCTTATACATTTCAAAATCAATAGCAATATTTATTCAATAGAGAACTGCAATATGAACGCTTCAAAGTGTATTTGTGACTGAGAACTTCCAAATTCAGAGTTCTTGGTAAAATTTTAATTAACAGCTCTCAGAGTTTTAATTTGTGAATATATAATTCAAAAGTACAAAGTATGTATATACAAGGATTTTTGAACGTACTTTTACAATTGTCAAGTACTTCAATGAGAACGCAATAATTTAAAGAACGAATTTGGAAATTAAGGATATTCACACCAATATTTTAGAATATTGAGATGACAACACGAGCAGAAAATAGGCAACGTCGCTCCCTTCGAATGGTGAAACACTGTGCTCAGATTGGTGTACAGGCACTCCAGGATAATTTCAGTTGTGTAATGAAAGTTCACTCCCCGGAAGCATGAGCGCACATTAAACCATCCGGAATGTTAATTGGCGGTGGAAACGTCACAACGATCTCCTTAATGGAATACGGAGCCAGTGCGCGGTGCAGCGGACCAATCAGTTCTCCAATGCGACCGATTCAAAGGCAACGGGGCGCCGCACGCCCCACGCCCCACGCCCCAAAGCCCACGCCCTGCGCCCGGCGGCGGGGCCCTTCCGCGCCTGGACGCGCGTGGCGGCAAACGCGGCAATTAGGCCAAGGAGGCGAATCGGGAGCGGATTCCGTGGAGACGCAGCCCCGCCTCCGCCCCCGCCCCGCCCTCCAAGGAAGCGACGCGGAGGCTGAAACCGCTCGGAAGGCGGTTGGCGAGTGGGGCGCTAAATGTGGAGCGGGCGGAGATGGTGACGGTGCCGGTAGGGCAAGACTGGCGCGGAAGCTGATAACCGGCTGCGGTCGCGGGTAGCCCTCGGGAGCCCCTTCGAGACAGGTGGTAAAAGTGGCACCGCGTGGGTGTGAGGGGCCGTCTGTATGTCTGCGGAGACGGTCGTCGTGGGAGGGCGACCGGGATGGCAGCAGGGGTGGCGGAGGCTTCCGCGCGCTTTGTGCTCCGCGCTCGGCTGCTGCTTCGCTGCGCGCATTCAGGCGCGCCCGTCCGCCCAAGCGGCGGCGGCGTCGTAGGCGAAGGCGAAGGCGAAGGCGAAGGCGAAGGCGAAGGCGAAGGCGACTGCGGCGATGACGTCTCTGAAGGAGGCCAAGGACGATAGCGATGAAGCAAATGAAACAGGTGCTGCCAATGCGGCTTCGCAGAGAAGGGAAGACTGGCAGAAACAAGTGTAACTATTTTAGTAAAAACAGTGCATGGGACTTGAGAAACGATCCGAAGAGAAACTGAGGAGATTGTATCATCATAACGGTGATGGCATTCTTCAAAATAGAAACATACAAAAAAGGAAGACGGTGAGAGTGCACGTGCGAGACGGTGTAGGAAAACAAAAATCGAGAAATGATGACACAAAAAAAAATTCCTGCTTTTATACTACTAATGAAGTATTATTGTAAATAGAAGGCAAAATAATCATCAGCATTCCACGAAATGGAGCCGTGGCGAAGGAAGTCAAGGGCACTACGTAAAACTCGAAAAGGTGTGTCTGATGGCGGAGGCGGTTGGCGGAGGCAGAATACGCGCCGTGGCAGGGCGGCGGGCGCAGTCGATTACGGCGCTCTCGACGATGAACCGGCCGGGGGGGGGG